GGCCTGACACTTGAAATGAACCGGGCTTCAAATTGTGTTCATCCGGGGTTCTCCTGAACCCTGAACTTCCGGAACCGGGGCCCGTGGGCCCGCGGGCCCGGCCGGCCTGGCACTTGCATATGACTCTTGGAACCGGGCTTCAATTATTTTTCATTCAGGGTTCTCCTGAACCCTGAACTTCTAGAACTTGGTCCGGTCCGTGGGCCCGGCCGGCCCAACAATTTGAAATTTGGACCGGGCTTCAAGATACGTTCATTCAGGGTTCTTCTGAACCCTGAACTTCTGGAACAGCTGGCTCTGTTTGCTCAAAGGTAGTGCCCGGGGAACGGAACGGTACAGGCGCGGTACCTGAGGAGTGTACGGGATTCCGGGGCTCCGCCCTAGGGGAAAAAATGAAGAATGAATGTACGAGTATAGACACGTATATGAAAGAGTTCAAAAAGGGGTCCAAAAATGGAAGTTCATACCACCATTGATACTTTGTCAGGAGGAGGGCTGAATTGGAACTAGAGAAGTGAAAACCGGATTCGGACTCATTGGAATTCCTACGGATACAACTGAGATTGGTGCCGCAAAGGCGGTCTCTCAGCAGCGAAATCCTGGCCGAACCGAGGTAGGTAGGTAGGCTAATAGGGTGTTTCTAAAACGAAAGAACAGAAGAAAGGACGAACTAGAGGTGGGACAAAGCAATCAGGCAGGGAAATTGAACACTGAGTAATGTTAAGATAGAAGTGGTTCAGTAGAACTGCTACGGAAACAACGGAGCAACTCGGGGCAAGGGAGTTCTGTGAAGTCGGAGTCCTGACCGGTGAATCTGAATGGTGATGACGTCAGCAGTAACAGAGGGAAGTGTGTCAGATTCGCAGAGCAGAATTGCACATGATTTAGGTATGAAAGAAATCTCGAACGGAAGAAAAGAATGCAGGTCAACAAGGAACGTGCTCCAAATGAGAAAAAATTAAAGTGGGAGCGGAGCATTGCCCTACCACAGAACGGAAAGAGCAAACGAGTGGCACAACAGGCCAGAGCGGAACGGAACGGAACGTCAGCGGAACGGGGAAGAAAAGGAACTGTGAACGGAAACGGAACGCAAGGGAGGGAAGGGAAGGCAGAAGCCCTGTATGATGAAGGTGAGGATAAACGGAACGTCAAGGAACCGCACGCGAAATCGCCGGCAACAAGAATGAGAATAGAGTCGGATCGATAAAAGCAAACGAAGGAAGACGAAAAAGATGAGGCTGACGAGAATTGTCACGAAAAGGGTAGACAGTCTGTACCGCAAGCAGAAGAAAAAGAACCGGGAACGGAACGAAAAGCGAAGGACGGACCAAAATGGAACTGGTACTGAACGAAAGGAGTACAAGAACTTGAACGTGAACAAAAACTGAAGCGAGAACGAACGGGAAGAAAAGGAGGAGTACAAAAGTGCAAAATAGAGAAAGAACCAGGTAGAAGTTAGATGAGAGTGACACAGCTCTACAAAAAGTCTGAAGTTCAACAGAAGTCCTTGAAGATGGAGGAAGAACAGGGAGCAGAACCCTAGAACACCAGCCGGGTAACGCCCAAATTACCGCAAGGAATAGGAACGGAACACGGAACGAAAAGGAAATCCTCTGTAAGAGTGTGAGAAAAGAACGGAGAGGAGACGTGGAGGGAAACGAAGCACAAGAGAATGCTCAATCAGGATAGACTAAAGAATGAGATCATGAGAACGGCGGCTTGATTAAGATGCAAACACAATTGTTGTACATAAGAACTAGAGCGAAGCACAAAAGCAGCCTGTGGAAAAGAATTATGTAATTACATGTAAACGAAGATGTTTCTAAGAAAGGACGCAATCTGAGGCCAGGGAATTGATGAAAACATGGAAGGGTGGAGGAATCAATCGTGGGTAAACGAAGATGGCTCTAAGAAAGGACGCAATCTGAGGCCAGGGAATTGATGAAAACATGGAAGGGTGGAGGAATCAATCGTGGCTCAAGGATCATCAGATGAATCGCGACAAGAAGTGAAGTAGTACAAATTCAGTTTCACTCCTATGAAAAGAAACCCTACTCAAGGTCAAAGTAGTGTTACTGACAGGAGTCTCTCAAGTCATGCTACTCATAGGTTGCCAAAGTACAGAACCCTAGCTCACTACATCAGAGTAGGACTAAAGTACTGCTCATTATGGTATCCCAAAGCTACAGTAATCTGCTATGCTGAACTGCTCTCAGAAGTAACCGCGACTGGCGTTAGCTGCTATGCTGGCGGAGTTGGGGCATGCCGCTGCCACGTGTCCATACTGCTGACAAGACCAGCACTGGAGGTTTGCAGCACGACTACTGGCCATAGGGGGGTGGGACCACGAGGACCAGGAGCAGGGACAGCAGGGGGGGGAAGAGAAAGGCCAGGAGCAGGGGATGGGGTGCGGTTCGAAGGGGGGAAGTATTGGCTCTGGTAGATTGGAAAGGGGATAGGACTGGGCTGAGGAACAACTGGCATAGGAGCAGGCATCAAAACAGGTTGAGGGGGGTGGAACCACTGAGCAGATGGGGAAGGAGACCGGGCTCTATTGGAGAAGGTGTTCCTGCTAGGGTTCTGGAATTGATGACTCTTCTGCTCCTTGGGTGGTTTGGAAGCTTCTTCGGCAGCCTTGCGTTTCTCAGATAAGGACTTCTTGGCGCGAGAAACCAGAGACACCTCAGCCGGATCCTTCGAAGCTTCATCCCTCAAACGTAACATCTCAGAGGCAACCTCCAGACCCTCAGAATCCCAATCTTCCAGAAACTGCATGCGGTCGAAGATGGTCTTCTCACCTTCGTCACACTGATTCTTGAGGGCAGCGACTTGATCTTCGGAGAGCTGAGACAGAGGGGAGGTGCCATCCAGATGGTTCTCGAAGACTGACTTGGCCTGAGATATGACTTGCTGCGCTTGCTCCAGAGGTTCCATGTGCTTCTTCACTTCAGGATTCCCGATGCGATCGGATCTCTTTGGAGCAGCTCTCGCCTGGATTTGGGACTGCAGCTGATCAATCTTCTCGGCCCCTGCTTGGCAAGATTTGCAGCCTGCTGAGAGGCATGCTCGGACAGCTGACGTGAGATCTGGGACAACAGGGCCTCGCTACGAAGAGTGGCTTCTTTCGCTTGCTTTGCATAGTCCTCAGGGGTCATAGTTGCAGCGCCTCCCTCAGCGGGGGTTTGGTCTTCCGGTCCAGCCATCGTGCATGGAGCGAAAACTCTTTTGCAGATTGATGAACAGAGCAAAAGCTGAACGTAGAGACCAGGAAGCTTCGAAGCACCAAAGCAAGCAGAGAGAACTCTCGAAGATGAGCTGAAAGCAGATCTAAGAAGCAACTGCCTGGCTGCACGTCCTGAAGGCGCACTCAATTGCTGCAATATCAACGGAGTAGTGCTACTAAGCAGGAAAGGAGCAAAGATGAAGAAGAAAAGAGTTGTTGCATGGCCTTCTTCGAGGGGAAGCAAGGAGGCGCCGTCCTCCTTGCGCTGTGACTTCGTCTTGCAGAGCGACAGAATGAAGACGAAGGCACAGAGGTGCGGCTTGAAAAGCCGCGATTCGGGTTAGCGTTCTCGTTAGCAGAGAACCGTAATTTTCGACTAACTACGAACGTCGAAAATTGGGAAAACCCTAACAGTACAAACACTGACGACGACCTACCACAATATACTCGAGATTGCTAAATGCTGACGTCAAGGCTCAACTTTCATGCCTCCGAGTCAAACCTGGCAAGTTCTTGAGGGTAGCTAGTATATATATATCCTGGATAGGTACCGTGCCTTGGTAGTTGTTTCAGACGACCAATTCATCCAATTTGCTGATCTACGCCTGTGCTCACCCTACATTCTTCTCTGTCTGTCCCCTCTCTTGTATGCTCCAAGTTCTTTCATCCTTCAACGGCGAGCTTGATTAGGTTGGGGTGTGACCGCTTCTGGGCACAATGGCAGATGAGGGCGAGGCCGTCACTCTGAGGCAGATTTCACGAAGCCGTAAGTTGACGCAAGTGGGCCTAAGGATTGTGAAGTCTAGCTCAGTCGTCTCTGCTTGATGACAGGGCCAACTGGCAATAGACCGAGCTCTGAAGCTTTAGGAGCTGTGAGATGCGTGGCATGATAATCTTGCTTGCAATGCTGTCAGAATCATGCTGCAAATATGGGGTCATGGCCTCATAGCCTCTGCAGGCAGTCCCCCTGTATACAGGCCTCTATGTGTGCGCAGCCTGACTGCCTTGTGTTGCTTGCTGTCAGGGGTGCTGCATGAGATGCTGCGCAGCGTTCGGGGTGGAGCAGCAGACTGGAAGGTGGGCATGCTGCTTCCTACTCAAGCGGCGAGCAATTCTAGGGTTGACACCACACCTGCTGCTCCACCTGACCATGTTCTAGATTGCGCTGATTGACAATAACTTGTGTGCGCAAGCGACTGGAGGGGGGCTGCTCTGGCAGTTGCCAGGGGCGCCACCTGTGAGAAGCACGTGCTTCGTGGGGCATGTTCAACGGGTGGTCGTTGTCCAACAATGCCAACTCTGATTCTGGCAGCAGCTCGAAGGTTCCAATTTAGCAGCACAGCTCTTGTTGAGGTCCTCCCTCCCACTGATGCGAGGAGCTGTGGGCTCGCTGACACTGGAGCGCTTGCGTACAGGTGCTGATCACGGACGAGGTGACGGTCAAGGTGCTGTCTGCCTGTGTCAAGATGACCGACATCCAGGACGAGGGCATCTCAGGTCAGCTCGCAACGAGCCACCTTAGCGCTGTGCCACATGCTTGCTCGTCTAAAGTACACCCAGAGCAGGACCCTCGCTTCACCAGAATTTCACGTTCTTGGTATCGGGTGACCCTGGACTCTGGCTGGCCCCCCTGCTGACCTGGTGCTGTGGCCTGCAGTGGTGGAGGACCTGAACAAGCGCCGCCAGCCGCTGACGCTGGACGCCATCTACTTCATCCAGCCCTCGCGCAACAGGTACCTTGTGCCCCTCACCTTCCGGCCCTGGAGCGAGCTACTTGGTGCTCTGAAACTAGGAAGACTGATGGACCAAGGAAGTACGGAGCGGCATGCTGCTGATGATGGTGGGGCCTGTCCAACCTGCACCGGGGGCATCTCCTGTATGGACAACTTGAAGCAGGGCGGCTTTCCATTTCCTGCCCCTGACCCTTTCTCTGCCTTGAGCGTTGCAGCGTGAAGCGGTTGATTGAGGACATGGCTGGCAAGGCCCCGCTGTACACGCGCGCGCACGTCTTCTTCAGCTCCCCCCTGCCGCGCGACCTGCTGGCCGGCATCCGCGCGGACGCGGGCCTGCTGCGGCGCCTGGCCAAGCTGGCCGAGTTCAACCTGGAGTACCTGGCCGTGGACCAGCACGCGTTCGTCACGGATCACCCGGATGCGCTGGCCGCTCTCTTTGGGGACGCCCCGGACGGCGGTGCGCAGTACAAGGCCACCATTGAAAGCATTGCGGCGCGGCTGGCCACCCTGTTTGGCGGTCTCAAGGAGTTTCCAGCCATCCGCTATCGCAAGGCGCGCACCGAGGGCGGCGCTGTGTCGGGCCGCGATCTAGTCCCTACGCAGCTGGCCAGCGCGCTCTGGGACCGCATCTTCCGCCTCAAGCAGTCCCTGCCCGGCTTCCCATCCGTCGAGACCTGCGACCTGCTCATTGTTGACCGCTCGATCGATCCGGTGAGGGGAACAACATGGAATGAGCCAGCCGGGCTGAGTTCCAAAAAGGAGGCGTCATAGTTTCGACCTGTTTTGGTGCTGATGAGCAAGAACCGGGGCTGTAAGGAAAAGGCAATGGGCCCTCAGCGAGATATAGACCTAGACCGAGGTGGTCCATATGACCGAGGTGGTCTACATCTCGCTGTGTTGATTTTTGAATCGGCTTTAGGATTGGTCAGCGGTTGGACCAGGCTTCTCTTTGACAACGACGGCCTGTGCCCCTGACTGCGCTGGTGCTTGTGCAGATTGCCCCGGTCATCCATGAGTGGACGTACGACGCCATGCTGCACGACCTGATTGAGCTTGACGAGCACAACACCTTCAAATACGACGTGAGCCATGGCACGCACCAGCGCAATGTTCGCCATCTGGCGGTTGCCTGCCGACCTCTTGCGGAATTCGGAAAGCCAAATTGCTTGTCGCTTTTTCGAGGTATGCTTCAGGCTTAGGGGCCGCACGTGCGTGTTGTTGTATAGGTGGTGACGAACGCGGGCAAGTCGGAGACGCGCACGGCGGTGATTGACGACCACGACATGCTGTGGCAAGAGCTGCGCAACCTGCACATCGCCGAGGTCAGCGCGCACTGCTCCCGGGCGGCCAGCAAGAACAGCCTTGCCTGGAGTCTTGCGATGTGCATAAGTCACGGCGACTGTTAATAGTCGTCGTCGACTTGGCTTTTCTGGTTCAGTGTCGTGCGCTCTCGGCCTGGCGGATGTTGTCATTAGGGGGGGGAGCTCGAAAGTGGCCCTCGTTGCAGTGACTGTTCTGACCTACTTGGCAGTTCTGGTTCTGAGAAAGGGCCTGGAGACGATGCTTCTACTTGAGCTGCGTCAACTTGGATCCTCTCCTCCGCTGGCTCGTGTTCCTGCATCCCGTCATAGCCAAATGTTGCAGCTCCTGATCAAGAAGTCTACTTGGTCGCAAAGGGAGTCAGGGATAGATGCAACGAAGTAGATGTAAAGAGATCTGAGACCTGGTCCTTCTGCTCTTCTTGTCACTAGTTTGCCCCGTTGAGCGGTGGCGGCTTTCTGTGAAAGGTTTTCTAAAGTCCCTCAAACATGCAGGATTGAGGAATTCTTGCAGTTCCACTCCGGCAAACAGACCCTTCCTCGAAATGCCGCGTTGCCTTCCTTATCGCGCTGTCTCATTTCCGGATCGTGCTTCCCTTCGCAGGCCAACATTCGGATCAGCGACAAGACGCAGCAGTTCAACTCGGTGAACAAGGCGGCCCAAGTGAGAAAAGGCACCCGGTGAGGCTCCGGCGTTCCCGTGCGGATGCTGCTCGCCTCGTCAGGTTGCTGATGTGTGCACTGAGCCGTCTTTCGTCGTGATCGGTGGTGGGTGGCCTGCGCTGCGGCGTGACGGGTGCGGCGTGTGTGCGGTGCGCGCAGGGACGGCGGCGCCAACTTCAAGGACATGCGCAGCATCGTGCAGAACCTGCAGGCGGGCTACCGCGACCAGCTGACCAAGCTGAACCTGCACGCCGAAATCGCGACCAAGCTCAACACGCGCATCGCGGAGGAGAAGCTGAGCGCCATTGGCAACCTGGAGCAGGACCTCGTCTTTGGGGACGCCTCCTCCAAGGAGCTCATCGGCCTCGTCAACAGCAATCCAGTGAGCCCGCCCGCGCTGCGCGCATTGAAAGCCAATGGCGCACACTTGTCTTCTCGGGCATCTTCGAGGCTGCTCTTGCGGGTGCTCCCCCATGCAGTGCTCTCTGCTTCGAACCTGTACTCTGAAGGCGCTCGGGCTCGGCCCTCCCGGCGGTCGGCGCCGAGGGGCGGTGGGTGACGCGGTGGCGGGGGTGCGTGCAGGAGATGCCGACGGAGGACAAGGTGCGGCTGCTGATGATCTACGCGGCCACGCACCCCGAGAAGCTGGACGCCACCAAGCGGATGCAGTGGATGAAGCTGATGCGCCTCACCGGCGAGGACATGCACTGCGTCAACAACCTGGAGTACCTCGGCGTCGCCGTCTCCAAAAAGTCGTCCTCCTCCGGCTTCTCCCTCACCTTCGGCAAGCGCAAGGTCCGCACCCTGCCGCCAAATGCGAGCGTATGAAACAAGACAAGTATGAAACAATGGCGAACATCCATTGCCAGTGTCCCCTTGTCACCTTGCTCGTTGTCCACCTCGCGAGATGCTGACTTCTTCCAGGCCGCCCCTGTTCGCGTGCTCGGCTGAGCCTGAGCCGTGTTTGGCGGTGTTGGCAGGCGAAGCGGCCGGTGCGCAAGGAGCGCGCGGGCGAGGAGGAGGCGTGGTCGCTGTCGCGCTTCACGCCGCTGGTGCAGGACCTGGTGGAGGAGGTGGCGGAGGACAAGCTGCCGCGCGACCAGTACGCCTACGTCAAGGAGCCCGCGCAGCCCCCACAGCGCGCCGCCAGGGACGACGCCGCCGCCGCAGCCAGCAGGGCTGCCGCACGGCCCAGCGCGCGCACCGCCCGGACAGCCAACTGGGCCAAGAACACATCCAAGGAAGAGTGAGGAGCACCGACTGCATCCGAGGTTAACATGTGGAACCATACGCCCGACCTAGATACATGTGCCCTAAGAAACCCGCCAGGATAATCTGGTCGTGTGGTCGTGTATATTGTCGACGCTGTCGTTGGCCCTTGGCATTGCGTTCCTCCTCGACGTACACCTGATACTGTACGCTGATCGACAGAGCGCCCTTTCGCTGCCCCGCTGACCTGCTGCGGCCGTGCTCCGTGTGCAGGGAGTCTGGGCGGGCGGGCTCCTCCAGCGGCGCGGCGGTGCGGGGGCGGCGGATCGTGGTGTTCATCGTGGGCGGGATGACGCGGTCGGAGGTGCGCGTGGCGCACAAGCTGACCGCGACGCTGCAGCAGGAGGTCATCCTGGGGTCCACCAGCATCGATGCGCCCCACACCTTCCTCCAGGTCAGCGCGCCCCCGCAAGCATCCACTGACGAGCCGGCCCAGCCAAAAACGCCGATGTCACCCGGGGCTTCAACCAGGGTGCTGATTCCTGGCGCTGTTCTCTGCTCGAACAAGAGGCTGAAATGGTACCGCGGCGCCTTGTCTCGCTGCTAGACCTCTTTATTGCTCCATTCTAACCCGCCTTGCCGGTCGTCATGTGCAGCGCGTAAAGCATCTGAGCACCCTGGACGACGTGGACCTCTGATCTGACGGTCCGCAGCTTGACGGCCTTTCAATAAGGACTACCAGTTCCGGGTCTGAAGACAGTGCCTATAGAGGGTGCCTGGCGAGGCACCATTGGGTTTGTTTTGTAAATATAGGCGGCAGAGTATTTCGGGCGGAAGTAAGGGTGACTACAAGGAAACCAAGGAAACGAGGCTCGCGGGTCCTACCTTCAGGCAATTATAACCTGATCCTTGTTGTGTTGCCGTTTCCAGCCTGTCAGCCCAAGTTCCTGAGAACGTGGAGGCATCCAATATTCGATAACGTTTGTAACTTCGTACAACAGTCATCTATGAAGAGTGAGGACAGCATTACATGCTCTAGCGTCGTTCTTTCGCAGATGAAGCGCAACCCCTGAGCCTGTCCCGAAAGGGCTAGTATTCAACTTCAGATTCTACCCGATCGCTCTACTTCCAGATTCATGCAATTCAACGTGCTGTGGGCACCCATGTTGGTTGGTAGCCTAGTAGGATCCGAAACAGGCTCACGGCGGCCCAAACATGTTTGACGTGACCCTGATTCAGCACAAGGCTACCATGTCAGCGGCTGGACGTTAGCTACTGCCGCCATAGCTGTAGTGCCAGCGTGCAAGTCCTTCGAAAGCTGAAGGTCTAGCTAGGCTACGTTCGATCAATCCGTCGGATGCATGATCAGGAAATTCATACGTGTACTTTGGCGGTACGTGCATGACTCTAGCTGGATCTAGCTGCAATGATCAGTGCATGTCTTGAGGCGGCTCGAATGCACGGCCATACGTATTTGCATCAGTGCTGCAACATGTTTTCTTATAACAACTAGCTGCGATCGCCATATTGTGCCCATGGTCACTCAAGTCATGGCATGTCCTGATCAAGACTATCTTGTAGCTACGTACGTTAGCCTGTATGCATACAATACTATAGCTAATTCAGGCTAAGTACAACACTATCTGCCAAAATTCTCTTCTGGACGTACATCACAAACGTCCCATATAGTACAATATAGGTTACCGCGGCGGCGGCCGCCCATCATATATGCATGGCACTCAATCCACTTCTCAACTTAGTTTTAATGTCGGATGCACCGTCATATGTACGTACATATGTGCTCTTAATTGAGCACAGTGTGACATGTTCGAGTCGGTCACATGTTTTGTGAGGGTTGCACTTGAGGTCACGTACGCAGGGCACGCGTACTTGAACGTTAAGCCCCAGGACGAAGTGAGGCGGCGGCCGGGCCGGTGAGAAGGGGGTACGTTGAGTTACTCTGCATCTTGCCGCCGTACAATCATTTGTAAGTCCTGCTGATCATTTATAAACCATTTGTTTAGATGCACCAAGGCAAGCACTGCAATAACATGTGCATTTCATGAGCTAGCTCGCCTTCTTCAAGACAAGACTCAGAAGGAAAGTAGCATGCGCCACTTTCCTTACATGGTACCATGTTATTGTTGATTTGTAGTGAATAGGATTGGAACGCATCAAACGGGTCATGTTATTTCGACTCGAGAGGTACTTTGTCGGACAGTACGTCGTGAACATGTTTTTCAAAATCATGTGAGTGTCCAAGTCCATGGACGCAGGATTATGCTGAGAATTACCTCTTCACCGGAGCATCAGTCCGAACTGGCCTTGAGCTTGATCAGCGCGTTGGTGATGCGTTTTTAAGCAGGTCTTTCGTTAAGAGTCTGCACCGACGCTGCCCCACTGCGTGCCTCATTGCCCCGACGCTGCTCCCGCCCACCTGTCCTGCATGTCCAGGATGTCCGCCAGGACGCCGGCCGCAGTGGTGTCGTTGCCCGCGCCCGCCCCTTGGATCACCAGCGGGCTGCTCGCGTAACACCGGCTGCTGATGGCCACCTGCGAGCACCGCCAGCGTCTTGCTCACCCACAATGCTTCAAGACACTTTGTGCAGACCCGAGGCAGGACACCTTGACTCCTGTCTGCTGACTCAACCAACTTATGGTGATACGCGAGCGCACAATCGATGCCCTAGCCTACAAACCGGTCTTCGTCTCGCTATTGGGGCAACATCAAATATCCAGGCTCAGCAATGACTCCTCAGAACACTGTCGCCGGACATCCGGCAGCTGGCGGTGGCGTCATGTCCCGCTTGTGCACACATGTTCAGGTGGGGTGGGTTCGAGGACGGAGCCCCAACTCTCCCTTTCCGGACTCGGTTGGGGACGCTTGAGCCTCATGCAAGACACCAGGCTGCAGAACTGATCCTTTTGCAGAATGTCCCATCTTACTCGACTGCTTCATCGGGGCTCCCATCCTCAGCTGCATTAGTTTGTGGTCCGGGACCTTGAGGCTGTTCTCTTCGATCTAACGCTTTGCCACACACGCACGAGCCTCACCAGGTTGTCGGAGCCCTTGAGGCGCCCGAGGGGACTGTCCGGAGCCACCGCCAGCAGGCCCACCCGACAGCTGCCCTCGCACAGACAGCGGACAAGCAGGGAGCAGTGAGGCCAGGGGTGCGCCTCGCGGGCAGCGGCACCGGCGGCTGGCCCGCTGAATAACCTGGGGGGACTAGGGCCATGTGCCACGGCATTCCCGGAGCGCGGCCATGCCGGAGCCGAGCGGCACACTTCCGTGTTGAACAATTTATGACATTTTGCAACCCTATGTCGAAGCAGGAAGCGCATCTTGTCTACTCCGGCGGGCGTGCCGCCGCCTTTGCTGACCTGCCGCCCTCGATGGTGGCCGCGTAGCGCAGCACGTTGCCGTCTCGGCGCGCTGCGGCACAGCGCTGCGCCATGGCGTCATCCAGGGTGGGCAGGCCAGCCTCCAGGAAGAGCGGCAGGGGCATGGCCGCGGGGGCCAGGTGAGGGGGGACCAGGCTCTCCACCGCCACGTCCGCCAGCTCCAGGCGCCAGCCCAGCTTGCGCGCCAGGATCAGGGCCTGCCATCAGGGGACCAGCAGTTACCGGCGAGCAGGCAGAGCCAGAGCACACAGGCCAGCGCGTGGATAGGGTATCAATTGAAAGTACCCCACGGACAAGCACACCGGGCATGAGCACGAGTGCGCAGCTAGCATGGGGCAGGCCTGGTGCACCTTCCTGGCGACGTCCGTCCCGGCCAGGTCGTCACGGGGGTCCTGCAGGGCACAACCAGGATGCGTCAATGTATGTACTGCAGAACGCCAGACGCGACAACAATCCGCTGGAAGCAGAGTTCTCAGCTCGCAGATTCTCTCTTGTTAAGGAGAAACAATGGCTATATAACTCCATCTGCCCTATGTTACCCTGTGTTATCTGTGCCCTTTCAAGAGCTTTGGCTTGAGCGACGTCCTCACTGGTTCGGTGTAGCCGGCCGCCTTGGCCGCGCGCACCACCTCGCTCAGCGGCCGCCCCTCCTCCAGCCCCGCCATGACATACCCCAGCGTGCCTGCACAACGCAAGCTGGGGCTGGGCGTCAGGGTTTAACACCGGAGCCCACCAGCAAGGGCTACCCAATGTTTGTGAGCCACCCACACACGCCTGCACGTGGTTGCTCCTGCCCACTGACATGCTGACACGAGTTTTGGGCACCCACCGCTGAGTGCCCCCGCGATGCGCTGGATCTCGTCCCCTGCCCCCAGCATGCGGTCCAGCGTCCCCAGCACCGGCAGCCCCGCACCGCAGGTCGCCTCGTAGCGGACTCGCCGCCCTGCGCGCAGCACCGCGTCGTACACAGCCTGCCAATGGCAAAGCGCATTGGCTGCGGGGGCCATGATGAACAAAACAAGGGCTTAGCAGCAGGAAGAGGCGCGGCCACCTTGCAGAGTTGAACATCTGCACTGTTCACCTACTAGTAGACTGTTGCTCTGCTGCCAGGGTTGATGCGAGTGACCAGGGCCTTGCCTCACAGATGGCATGGCTCACCAGCGAGTCGGTGAGCGGCTTCTTGTTGGCCAGCACGAGGCCGGCCAGGCGGGGCAGCGCCTGGACCAGGGTGCAGCCCAGGTCGGCGGTGCTGGTGCAGTCCACGTAGACGCGGGAAGCACCGCCGGCGGGGGGAAGGAGGCTCTCGAATGAACCCCCATGTGCGTGGGAAGTGAGTCGCTTATTTGTTTCTGCAGACAGAGGAAAGGGCCTCCTAACATGCAAGATAGCACAATGGTGCCTTGCCCAACCACGAATTGCGGAACGGGGCATACTAAGGCCTACTTGGAAGCACAGATGGGTTTACAGTAATGCTTGAGCATCTTGCCCAGTATCCTGAAACCTCGGATGGAAGTGTTAGCAGCCCACCACAACAGACTTCGTTCTGTCCGTGTCTGATGCTCAAGAGAGCCCCTGGTTGCTTTTTCCATCATTCAAGAGGTGTGCCCCACTTCCTCAAAGCTGCATTGACAATTGTGGGGTCAACGAAAGGCCCACCAGATGACGACAGCGATGAGAGCGGCCGCCTCGCAGCCTTCGCTTCCACGATAGCCCTCAGTTCCGGGTCAGCAATGCCGCCAGGTGACCAGTCGGTCAGGATGTGCTGTGAATCGACGACAGCGTGCACCACCACGCGGAGGCCACCCTGCAGCAACCCGGAAGAAGCGGGAGCCAAATGTCAGCCCCTGGCTCTGCACAGGTTGCCAAGGCTCGCATTTCCAGCTGCAGACAGTCAGCTCCGTTTGTAATGGGCGGACAGCCGGTGGCACCAGTGGAACAGCGGCTGCCACCTGTTTGCCAGCTCCAGACTGTTAGCCGCTTGATCACAGCTCGAAGAAAGCTACGACTGTAGACCAAGCAGCGCACAGAGTCGACGCACCTGGGCGAGCGACTCCCTGGTGCGCAGAATGTGCTGCAGCAAGGTGCGGCCCACGCCCCCCAGCCCGAGCACCACCACAGGAATGGCAGGGCACACGGCATCAGGGGCCGGCCTGCCGCCTGGCGGACTGGCGGCGGTCATTGCAGCCACTGTACCAGCGTCGGCCAGCCCCAGGGCAGCCCTTCACCAGCAGCGAGAGGAGAGGGTCCTGGCTTCAACGAAACTTTTCTCCCGAAGTAGCGCTTGTGCTTTTGCCAGCTAGCTAAAAAACGTATGCAGCTTCCATACCATCATCAATACAGTATACTATACGTACAGATCTAACAGGAAGAGTCGGAGGTCCCCCCCCCATGAAGAAGTGGCCCAGCCATTGGTCCGAGTATGAGAAGCGACCAGCAGGAAAACCGGTTTGAAACCGCGATCGCGGTTCTTGACGGATCAAGGTGGGCTTCTTTGTAGATACATACCGGAATTACGTTTGTGAACGTACGTCAGATAATGCTCGGAAACCGGTAGGATCAACGGCAGAGTACCAGCCGGATCAATCGCCAAACGGCCCGGTATTCCTCATGCTTCCCCCCCGGCCGGAAAGATCTCAACTAGATACGTATTAGAGTTGTATACCGTATACGTAGGGGTACTGAAGCAGCATGCTGAGCGTTGTGTATCCCAAGAATCCTCAACAGTGGTGGCGCATGGTGTGTAAGTGAGCTTTGCGCCCACAAAAGTGTCGATCCGCTCCTGGAGCATGCGGACTACAGCCGCGCTGGGGTGTCGCCGCTGCGGAGGTGCTGTGGCGGTTGAGTGGTGGTGGCGGTGATGGACACGGTGACACAGAGCGTGGGGATCAGCCGCCTGCTGAAACCCCCATTAGATGCCAGTGCACCGGTGTGTGTCTTCTGGGACTTTGAGAACTGCCATGCGCCCAGCGACGTGGACCCTGACGCCATTGCTGGGAACATTCGCGCGGCGCTGCTGGACTACGGCCTGACGGGGCCGCTCACCATCTGCGCCTATGGCAACCTGGCCGTGCTGGCACGCAGGACGCAGGTGAGCCACAGTCACTTGTGAGTATAACGATGGCATGTGGCGCCACACCACCTTTTAGATCGCTGATAGGTGCTGACGACTGCTTCAGGCGAGCTGCGCGACTGATCACAGCCAATGACCGGCTCTGAACCGTCCGCCACATGATGTTGCCCTGTCCCAGCACTCCGTTTGGCTTGTTTGGAAAGGCCAGATCAAGGCGTTCAGAGTGCGTGGTCCTGGCAGCAGTTGGTAGCAAGTGTAGTGTTGACTCTAGTCCTCTTCCTGCCAGGTGGGCCTGATCAACAGCGGAGTGTCGGTGAGGGACGTCCCTCCTGGTGAGTGGCCCACCGCAGCCTCATGGCCCACTGCTGGAGGTTGCAGCGCGAGGATAGAATCGCCCCTCCTATCAACTTGAAGGAGAAGGTGCCTGGCATGACACGTCTATGTGTGCATCGCGGTGGTGGTGTGTCCATGTTCAGCTAGGAACTGTTCAGCCCGGAACTGATTCCGCAGCTTCTTCAGCCCTTTGTGTTGCCTTAGCCCTTTGAGCTTCGCCTTGAATGCTGCAACCGTTGAGACACCTCCATCATTGGCAATCTAGTGTTCTTTTACCTGCAGACGGCAAGAAAGAGACGACGGACAAGCGCATCCTGACGGACCTCATGTTGCACGCATGTGAGTAGGCACATTGACCTGCAGTTGCTTGTGGGCGCGTGCAGCCTGTTTGATGTGGGTCAAGCTCCAAGCAGCCTGCCCAAAGAAGTTCCTTTGGTAGTGCAGGTCTGCCTGTGCTCGCCGCGTGCAGAGAGCTGGTTGTCTCCAATTGAAGTCTTGCAGCCATTTGCTCCGGCAATCATCCAATGGGATGTTCTAAAATCCCGTAGGCGACACGCCGCCCCCAGCGCACATCCTGCTGGTGTCGGGCGATGAGGACTTTGCGTACGGCCTGCACCGCCTGGCCCTGCGCTGCTACCACGTGCACGTGGCGCTCAACCTGGAGGGTGGCGTCGTGGGCCAGCCTGCGCTGCAGCGCCTCACCGCCAGCGGTACTAATTTGTGTCCCCTTTTCGCTAGAACGATTCCAAGGCTCCATCGTGCACGCGGCATTGTTCTATGTGGGGTAGAATCACTTGTGTTTCTAGGTTGTTCTAGCCGTATCCTTGCCTAAACACGTTCGTACTAGCATTATTCAACATAGAATGTACTCTAACACGACTCTGTACTCGGGGAACAAATTCAGGGCGCGCCTGGCAGTGGCAGGCCCTGGTGCGCGGGGATGTGGCGCCCATGCCCTTCACGGAGGCGCTCGGGGTGCCCACCTTCCCGGGGGTGGGCCAGTACCGTCAGGTGAGGCCCGCTGCGGACATATGAGGAGGCGTCCCGCGTGTTGGAGTGACACCTTCGCAGTCGAGGCGCCATGTAACCTCACCTGCTTAGCGGAAGGGGGATGGTGCGGTCGAGATCAAGCGGGTGTTGCCAGTGCTTCGAAATTTGGAATTCTCGAAATGGTTATCCTGACATCCATCTTTCTGTCCGTCAACATCTTCATCAATAAGGCTGAAAGCATGCCAACATCATAACAACTCCGTTGACTCACTTTGATTGGTCCACGCCTTGCAGTCCACTGCTCGTGAGAGAGCCCTCTCAGGTTCTGTTGAGGACAGGCCCGTCTTCGCTCCCTCAAAGGACGAGCCTGCCGAGGCGGGTTTCCGGGCGGGCCGGCCGCTGCGCGCGGATCAGCCGCACCCGGTGCCGGCGGCAATCAAACGGCAGGTGGCGGAGGTGCTGGACGACGCGCCCCCGCAGGGCATCAGCATGAGCGAGCTGCAGATGTTTTTGGCGCGGAAAGGGTTCACGCTGGACTACCGCGGGCTGGGGTACAAGCAGCTGCTGACCATGATGCAGGCCATGCCCGACACCGTGGCCGTCAGCATCCCCGCAGAGAGGAGCACCAAGAAAAAGTACTTTCTTCGCCCAGCTGCGGCGCCAGAGTTTTTGCGGACGACTCCAAGCAGCAAGGTGCCTGGAGGTGGCCTCAGGGCGGACGTTAGTGTGGAGGTGATGAAAGAGGCCGCGGAAGCCAGAGGGTCGCCGCAAATGAGCGAGGTTCCAGAGAATTCAGGGACGAGCATAAAACACGAGGAAGAAGTTGGGGAGGGCAAATCACAGCGTGAGGCTGATGTTCGAGATCTGTTGATAAAGCCAAGACCTTTACGCACGGAAAGCAAACAAAGACCCTTGGCTAGCCTGGTTCAAGTGCCACTCTTTCGCAAGGTGCTGAACTCTGTTGGCGGATTGTTCGGAAGGAGACAGTCTAGACTTAGGTGATCGGCCGTCGACTGCCAGGCGTTGGATTTGGCAAAGGTTGTACGGTCTTGGTTATTCTTAGCCTGCATCGTAGCTCCAAACGTCACCGACACATGTCACGTTGGCTCTAAGTTCCAGGAAAACAGTGCGCGTATATTTTCGCATACGGTACGGCTGGCCCGGTGGCCCGCTATGGCCGGCGGGCACAAAAGTAAACATTCAATATCGTACAGCTGCGCTTGGACCGGACCTGCTAGGGCGGCCAGGTAACGTATGTATATATGGCATGCACTGATTTGCGCATGATGCATGGATGCTGTGATCGACTGCACGACAATTCTGCATGGTCGAGCGCTCATGCATGGTTCGGAATATTTGCGCGCAAGCTTGCATGGAACATTTCAGTATACTCAGTATATATGCTACCTATGATTAAAAAGTAGTACTTCTAAAGAGCAGCCCTGCCTGCCCACCTAGCGCGCGCGCGCGCGCTCCGCGAGCTTGAAGCTCATGTAATACATAGCACATTTGCAAACGATCGTAAGAATTCGACCGCGTTAAATTGATGAGTGGTACGTGTACTGACACTGATTGAGCAGCGCTTGCCGATTGCCGAGCATGTATAATATCTTGCATGCATGAAAGCCGCATGGCCCAGCGGCGCGTGCGAACAGCGCGGCTGCATATGTACACATTGTCGAGATCTGCCATATCTTGAAGCATGCTCCGCAACAGTTTCCCCCCCATACCATTGGTTAAACAAACTTTCAGTCGGTAATTTGCACCCGGGCGGGCCTGGGGCATGCGCCTCCTTTCGCAATCGGTGATGGAATCATGCTGAGGCTTTGTGAATCATGGGAACGTATGGTAGAGTTCGCATGTCATCGATGACTACCAATCCGGGCCTATGCGACATGCGGGACAACTTCAAAAGAAAACATCAATCAGTTTGTGACATAGGCGTTTGGACTTGTTCGCCCGACCGAGCCTGGTGGCAGCTTGCTCCATCTTAAAAGGTTCGGCTGTACTTTTTGATCTCGTACATTATCGACGGTATACTCACCACGTCCTTCCCGAGAGAAGTGCCGCCGCCACCCGGCCGCTGTACCAAAAAGGGCATAAAATACGTGAGGCGACGGACCGCTGATCCACTCGCTGAAGACAAGGAGGAGAAATCGCTTGACACCTTGAAAGCTTACGAGCTTGGATGACGCACTCGGTGGGCGGAAGATTCCAGGTTCTATCAGGCAGGCTGGACGACTCCCTCTTCTTTGAGATCCTACGACGATTGCACCAGCCACCACCAGGGACCATCAACGGCTGGTGCGGGGGGTGGACGGTGGGGAGCGGTACCTTGAGGCAGTCGAGGAGGCGGGTGTAGTAGAGCAGGAGCTGCGTGAGGGCGTTGCGCAGGATCTCCATACCCATCACGAAGTTGGAGAAGTACGTGATCACGTCCTTGTGCATGCTCTCGATGGCCGTCTTCCAGCGCGCCGCAAAGTCCTTGAACAGCGGCTCCAGCTCCGCCACCGAGATGGGCGCCGCACTCGCCCCGCCGCTGCTGCTGGATCCGCCGGGCGTGCCGGCGCCGCCCGCTGCCGCCGGCGCATCCGGGTCGGCGCTGACGGCGCGCGTCTTGACGAAGGCGATGAGCGGGCCGAAGTGCTCGCGCAGCTCCTCCTCCACGAAGATAGTGATGGCGCTCGCCAGCAGCTCCTCGAACGAGGCCAGCGTGCGCCCGCCCTCGCTGCCGTGCTCCTGCACCCACCGCAGCGCACGACCAGCTTGCAAACCGCCACGCGAGCACTCGGGCGGGAAAGTAGCCCTGATAGGGCGGTCACATCCGAGATGTTGAAAGCTCGAGGGTCTTGAACTTTCAAAGTTCGGGGTTTTTTGGGTTCCGACGGTAGGCAATACAGGCTCGCAACTCCCAAATCGTCGAGCGTTTTTATGCGATGGATCCGAAGATACTTCAGAACTCCAAAACCTAACCGGAGCCGTACTAAAAGTTCGACGGTAGGTTGCCTCCGCTGGCGACCTGTAGTGGGTAGGCGGATTTTGCGGGAGATCTCTTGCAGCTCCCCTACTCGGGCTTGGTAGTCCCGAAGGTTGCAACTTGTATGATGAGACCGAAAGGGTTTATGTGGTACCGAACTTATCTTGTTCGGGAGCCCTAAAATTCGCAAATTTGACCGCCCTAGTGAAAGAGTCGTCCACCTTTCACCACTTGAATTCAAACTGTTGTGTGTTAACTCCCCTTCTACCACCGACCTCAGTCTCTGGAAGAGCGAATTGAAGACCCGTGATGTGCAAAGCTGCTGATCTGCAGCTGTGTTCGTTTCCTATCCTGCTCCGCGAGCGTAGCGGCGCGGCGCTGACCTTGAGGACGGCGAGCACGACGTCGTAATTATTGATCAGGAAGATGGCCTGCTGCTTGGGCCGCGGGAAGTTGCGCGCGAGCTTGCCCAGCAGGTCGTCCAGCGCAGTGCGCAGCCGCTCCAGGTTGTGCTCCAGCTGCTGGTCGCCGCCCTCCGTCGTTAGCTGCGCCATGGCCGACGCGAACTCGGCGTAGCGCCGCGCCACGTAGTGCGCGTGCACGTCGTCCTCCCAGAGCGCGCGCACGTTGGCGTTCTTGACGGACGCGAGGTGCAGGTCGAAGACGGCCTTGAAGCGCGGCCACACCAGCAGGTTCACCTTGTCCAGGTACGAGTCCAGGCACGGCACGCGCCGCCGCGACATCACCAGCTGCACGCACGCCAAGCACGTCAAGCACGTCCAGAACATAGCACACTGGCGAGGGGGTAGCCAGCCGACGGCGGCAACCAGGCTGGTCGGCGGTGGTATCCTTGCATGCTAAGCAGATTGCGACGGCAGTGAACAGTGGTAGCGGTTGCATAAGCTGTGCACAAAGTCACCACAGCGAGGGGAGAGGCTGCTCCACCTCTTGAGCTCGATTATTCTCACGCAGTCTTTGAATGTGGCTCTCTCCACAGCGGTGCCGGACACTTACCTGGTGCTGGTTCGTTATCCGGATCATGAGCAGCAGCCCCACGGCATCGTAGCACACTGGCAGCACCTTCTCGAAGCTCTCGTCGATGACCGCAAACACGCCCGCGAAGATCGCATCGAACACGGCCTCCTCGCCGAAAAACTCCATGCAGAAGAGGTACCTGAAACACCACCCGGAAAAGCATCAGCGCTACACGAGAGAACTAGTCTACCTGCAAGCGGTAAAAGAGGAGCAGGTTCGGGTGACAGCGCCATACCCAGAAAGCTGCTACGAACACAGGCGAGCGCTGCGCGGCCTGTGGCGCGGGGCGGTGGGCTCACTCGGAGGTGGCGGTGTCCATGAGCAGCTTGTGCAGGCTGCGGAAGAGGGCCTCGTACGGGTACTTGGCGTGGCTGGCCTCCGCAATGTGCGGGATGATGGCCGGCGCGTCCACCTCCTGCACCGCACGCCAACACCCAGCACAGCCTCAGCACGTGCAGGAATGGACCCGCGAACGCTGGCGGAAACGTGTGACTATGATTCGAAAGCAGGGCTCGGAGCTGCTGCCTCTTGAGGGTGTAGGGCTCTCACGTAGGCGTGCTACTCTGAAGCAATCCGGGCAGCCTGTCGTCCTTACTGATTAGAAGGTCCCGGAAGGTTCCAAGTCCGGCAAAAGTTGTTCATTAGTGACAAACGGGGAGCTGCCCTCAACCTTAATCTGCCAACGAGGTCATGGACAAGTATTTTCTCGAAGAATAGATGGGGATCGCAGCACCACACAATATGCACAGGGTTTGTGGGCTTGCCGCACCTTCAACACGTTGGCTCGATCCCCCAGCGCAAACACGGCGGAGCGATTTTTGAGCGCGTCCGTCTTGCGCGAGAAGATGTTGGCGATGCGCGAGTCGTCCACCCCAATGAGGTCATTTTTGGAGACGATGTCCAGCTGCAGCTTCTCCAACTGCCCAATGTATGTGCGGAACTGCGCGCTCAGCACCTGCACCATCACGCGGCCACGCTCAGAGGGGCCACGCTGGCAGAGGAGCGCTCGGGACAGAGGCTAGCGCCCAGGCAGGGCGACTGTGCTGGCCGCACTCGCAAAACCTGAATCCGGACCACGATCCTGCGGATGCACGAAGCTCGACGATCACATCAGATTTGGTCATCCTAATGGCTTGGCCTGGAACTTACTGCCAACAGTTTAATATTGTGCGATTGAGCTGCTGCCTGTCGAGATAGCGACAGCACAACCATCTACCAAAATCTCCCCGTGCCCAGGGGAGTGTCGGTTCACCTTGTTCATTGTGTCACTGTATGTGGCCACAATCTCGGGGTACACCTCGCGACCATGCTCCCGTAAGAACGCCCCCATGTACCTGCACCCACCCGCCGGGCATGCACTCAGGCGCAGGGCGAGCCAGCCAGGAGGTCCCCAGTGGCCAGTCGCCATATTCAAAGCACACTTCGACCTTAGTGACCTTTCGGTGGACCAGCGAGATCATGGGAACGACTGGGTCTCGCGCCAGGGCCAGAATGCAATGTACAGATTTGGCGGGGCTTTGCTCACTTGTACTTCAACAGGACGCTCTGCTGCAGGATTTGGATGTTGGTCTTGGGCTTCTTGAGGGCCAGGAACTTGTTCAGCAGGAACTCCCGTGACTGCAGACAAAGGAGGAGAAGGCCTCCCGCCAGATGAAGCTTCCACAAAGCTCCAACAGCGAACCAGAGTATGCAATATCTGGAAACTCGGAATATACTGCTGCAAACTCGGTGCATGAGGAGTTGCATGTTGGAGCAGTCCCTTTTTGGGCGCTGGCGGGCTGGTGGTGGCGGTGGGCCCACCTTGGCGACGGCCCTGATGCGCAGCCGCTCCAGCTCGGGCTCCACGTCCTTGAGCGCAGCGGCCGTGCGCGCGGTGGGGTCAGTCGCAGCAAAGTGCAGCTTGCGGTTGAGGGTGGTCAGGTAGGCCAGGTAGGCGTCGCTGACCTCAGCGTCCACGATGCCCTGGATGAGGTCGGGGGGAACCACAACATCCTCCACAAAGCGCGCCAGCTTGGCCTCAGCCGACTTGCGGTTCTTGAGCTTGACGCCCATGCTGAGGGACTGCTCCTGCAGGCTCTTGATCTCGCTGCTGATGGCGCCCAGGTCTGCCTGGAACCCGCTCAGCAGCGCCTCCATGTGCGCCAGGATGCCGTCGCAGTCGCGGATCTGAGTGTGCAGCGACACCAGGTTGTCGCTCTCGCGGATGTAGTCCTGTAAGCACACAGGGATTGAATGGCAATGAGGCAGAGGCCATGCGACAAAAACGAGCGTTTGCCCCGCAGCAGGCAGGGGGCGGAACTGTTGCACCATGGAATTTCACTCTGACTATAGCAGCGCGTCTTCACAAGCTGCCACGATGATTGGACAGTCATCCCAATGAAGCTGTTGTTGCGCAAGGCTGTGGTGTCTGCGTGCTGACCTGGATGCTCTCCAGCTCCACCTGGCGCAGCTTGTCCTCCACGTCGCGCGCCAGCTCCCGCAGCTCGCTGCCCTGCCCCAGGATGTTGGCCACCACCTGCACCGCACAGCAGCGCACCGGCTGGGGCCCAATCGCAAAGGACAGTGCCACCGCTGGGGGCTTTCATTGAGCATTCGTATCATAGAAGAGGCAATCGGTGGGTATATTACAGGAACTCAATTCTTGCAATTGAGCCGGAATGGTGCTTCCCACCTCTTGCCCTTGAAAGTGTTCAAGCTCATCCTGCAGCCCTTCCAACGATATCCCCTCCCTGCAAGAGAAACTCCCGGGTCAGAATGATAGTAGTGCAATCCAGTAAAATCAGGGTCTGTTTCTCCAGATTGAAAGTGTGCCCCTGTTAGGGCTGCCCTCAGATAGTGTGGCATTTGCTACAAAAATGGGGGGAGCCCAGGCCGAAGTTGTTCGAGCCAATGGAGTCAAAAGGTAATCAATCCTTATTCCATAAGGAAACCCCACTTACGACGTTAAGTCTTCTCCGAAGGTCAAGTCACCACCAGTGATTTGCAGGTCATATTCGGATCCTTTCCCTCCCTGCACATACATAGTGCTTGTTGGTCAGTCGGCCTTCCTTCTCACTAGAAGTTGAGCTCCTGCCCTGACAGCAACACACAGGCCTAGATACAAAGGTTTGCATTGTCCTTACAGCACAGTCCTTGGCTTGATATTGACATTGCTGCAAACATTTGGGGCCTTGCCACAGCATCTGAGCGGCAGCTCTGCCCTACCTGACCCCCTTCATCAGCTCCAAACAGCTGATCCAGAGAAGCCTGAGCTGCTTGATCTGCACTCTGCTTGGGCACACCAGACGCTTCCGAAGCATTGTCCGCAACCATGCTGCCTGCTTTCAAGGGTCCCGCCCCTGGAACAACCTCCCAAATCCTTCAGAAACCTCACTCGACCTGCCAAGCAGGCGTCGCCGGCTTATCCTTCCACCCTTGGGCTTCGATTCTCCCCTTGGCTCATCTGATCTGAATAATATTTATAGAAGGAAAGACAGGCACACATTTGCATCCACAACCTGAACTTGTAGCTTTGTAGTCGGACTCGGAGTGCTCAGACGGAATCAGAGCAGCTTGGAGCTCTGGAAAGTTGCGCCCTAGCTGCGCAATTTCTGGACTGAGCCACTCAAAATCAGATTTCAAGTCGCAAACCCTAAATTCTGAAACCGAAGTAAGGCTACAGAGATACACACTTCAAGAAAGCTTTGCAAAAAGTTTCACTTGCTTGAACGTGAATACTGAACAGCATTGCCCCTGGAGTTCTGCGCACCATGAGAGCTAGCTTGCAGCAGGCTGCTGGTGCCAGGAATCTCCCAGCAGCGCTCATATCGTTTCCTTGATGTAAAGAAACTCCTACTTGAGGAGGGCAGCCGCTTACAAGGTGCTTCAATATTCTGAAAGTAAGGTGACTCGTTGCTCAAGTCGTGGATCGTTCTGCCCTGGACGAGAGTCGGGGTCTACTTAGTAGAATAAGATACTCCATGGAAGACTCCAATCACATCTAACATCAGGCTAGTCAGCGATTCAAGCGGAGCTCACTTTTGCAACTAGGTATCCTTCACCTTATTACTTTCATCGAGGGGTTTATTTCAAGAGGAGCAATGAACTCGGGACCTTCGGGCTTCTGTGAGTTTTCCTGAGCTTGCCTCCTTTGTCTTTGTTACTAAGTTTTTGGAACCACAAGTCATGTGGAGATTTTTCTCAAACGAATGAGGAAGGGGGGATATTTGTGTGTTGTTTGGTCAAATCGTATATGGATAAAGGCAGTGCATCAAATACTTGCCTCGATGGCCAAACTCCACAACCACCAGTTGGTGAGTTCGTGACTCTTGCCTTTATAAAAATGAAAAGGGTCTTCTTTGGGGACAACTCAGTTAGATGATTGAAGGGTTCTTTTCAGGTGGAAGCACTTTGAATTTTTGTCGCATTAGTGGGAAATCCTTTGGTCACAATTTTTAGGATGCCCTTGTCTGCAGACAATGCCCCGGTGACGAAGGCCATCATCCTGACATCAGCCGGGCTGTCTCTTCTGGGGGGGCTGCATGGCACTGCCAGGCTTTTGAGCCTGTCGTACGAGGTGGGCCTTCATCTAATCGCATCTGAACCATAACATGTTTGGACTGCAGGCAACCTTGCATCGATGGTCGTATAGCCGCGGTAGTTCAAAAAGTTGAATGTATGAGTCGCCGGAACCCCCATGAAGAAAGTCATATTATCAACATGCTTGATAAGGGGTGAAGAGATGCCATGTGCCTCTCGTTCAAACTGAAGCGTGTCCATCTGCTCAGTGCATCTTCCGGCGGCACGAGCTGTGGCGCCTACTTACGTCTGCCACCATCTTCTCGTCTACGCCTGAGATCCTGTTTGGGCTCTACCTGGTGTACTTCTTCCGCATCTTTGAGCGTCAAGTGGGGTCCAACAAGTACACGGTGAGGACCGTGATGTCACGTCCTGTCGCAGGAACATACAGCATCTTGAGAGCCACCGTTGGCAAGCCCACAGCGTGCTTGCTCTAACAAACCTTGGCCACCTGTATCTCAATCGGGGTTCATTATTCATAGCAGCATGCATTGCACTCTACCCGCCTGTGTTCTGTTGACTTGTTTCCACTCCCAGCAAAGCAGTGTCACCTAGGCCGTCACTCTTTGCAGATCTTCGCTTTGAGCTCGACCATCTTGTCAACGGCTTTCCAGTTGGCGAGTCTGGTAGCCCTCGAGGGACGCTTCAGTGGTGAGGCCCTGTTCAGCCCCTGGCTTGCGCCTGCTTCACTGTAGCTGGCATGATGCCCTCACTGCTGTCTGGTCCTGCCCCTCCCCATCATGCTTGTACCAGCCAGAACAGTCTGCTTGCCCCTCTGCGAGAATGTTTGCCTGATGTTCAACGTCTTTTTGCTTGCTGCAGGTGACCTGTTGACCCTGTGCTCGGGCCCTTATGGCCTCATCTTTGCATCGTTCGTCCCTTTCTTCTTTGACATCCCAGTGTCAGCTCGCTTCTCGGTCATGAGCCTCAAGTTCTCGGACAAGTCATTTGTCTACCTGGCGGGTCTTCAGGTAAGGGCTTTAACTTACTTCGATGCCGTTTCTATCTCAAATCCGAGTCGATCCATCAATCCGGTATTGTCCTTGGTTTCTCGTTTAGGCAGAATACTTCCCAACTATGCAAGTCCGACATTTGAGATATCGAAGACTGCTTGTTTCGACCCCTCTCTGGGCATGGTAAGGACAATCTGCCAGTTGTTTGATGGGTGCCTCCCGCGGTGTGCTTGCCTCGTGCAGCTGCTCCTGTCTTCCGGCCGCCAGTCCATCATCCCGGGGATCAGTGGCCTCCTGGCAGGACTTACCTACCGCTCAAACGTGTTTGGTATTCGCCGTCTCAAGGTACGGCTTTCTTGGACCCCTGCGCTTCTGTTCGCTCCTCTTCGCAGCTGTTGCTTCTTGTCGAACTTGTTGTTGGCTGCGGGAGGATGTCGGTGGAAGTTGCTGATGAGATGCCGCCTGACGAAGCGTGCTTCTTGTTGCAGTTCCCGGACTTCATTTCTTCCTTCGTGGAGCGCACTTTTTCGTTCCTCATTTCTCGGACGCCCCCCACTGCCTCGGGTGGGCGGGTGGCCGGGCCGGGCGCTCCGGGCACCGGGCCAACAATAGCGAGAAGGCTGGGGGTAAGCAGGTCGCCACCGCACAAGCCCGTGGGGGTCCTACGGAACGCGTGTGTGCTCAACCAGTTGTTACTTGCTGGTGTACCGTTGCTTTCAATACAATGTTGAGCGACAAATTTTGAACCGATTTACAGCACTGGTTTTCTGTGTGGCAGGGCCCTTCTCAAGGCTTCAGTGACCAGCTGATTGGCGGGAACGGAGGACTGCCTGGTGGCCCTTTTCTGGTAAGTCTAACTTGCTACTTCGAGATTCTCAAGTCGTCATAGCTCCAAAAAGCGGTCGGCTTTCGAGTCTCCAACGGAAGACTTTTGTCATCGGAAGTAAGCATAAGTACGCTTTGCTTTTCTATTCAGGCACCACAAACAGGTCTGGGAGTTGCTGCCACGGCTGCAGCCTCACCCGCGCCCCCCCCGCCGGAAGAGGCTGTCCAAACCCTTGTGTCTATGGGCTTTGACAGAAGTCAGGCGGTGCGGGCACTGGCACAAGCCCGAAACGATGTACATATGGCCACGAACCTGCTTCTTGAGGGCGTTGGTTTCTAATACTAGTACTTCGATAATATGATTCATGAAGTCCGACTGATTTCAATGTCTTACCGTACGATGTCAATACGTAAGTTCAAGTCTCAACGTGGTTCAAAGAGGTTTGTATTGCAGTATCTCCCCACATCTCCTACACCATTTTGATGATTCTGATAGCATCTCGCGTGCCGCGACTGCCATAAGAGGTTACTAAGTTATGCCGATCAACGAGCATTTTATGATCAACAAGATATATATTAATGGCCGATTGTCGGCTGGCTTCATGACATGTACGTATGCACTGTGTGATCATGGCCAAATGCAAATAATTGGGATCTAGTCCGACTAGGTATGATCGGAAAAGTCTCACATGCACTCCGGCTCTCGCTCATATCTGGACGGTCCGGCCAAGGACTCTCTAGCTCAAATCAACGCAAATACAACGAGATTGGCATAAGAACTACTCTGGCCGCCCAAGCATGAACAACAGCGGCCGTTCAATCAGCAAGCCCATTTCGCGCGCCCTCCCTACGGCATGGTCAGTGACCGTCTCCTTGCAGGCTCGAGTCTCAACTTTCAGGCTAGTTGCACATGCAGTGCTCATTGACAGTGGACACCCATATGACCATACGGCAATTTTTTATCATACCATACCAATTTTTACCAGCAATTTGAATTTTGAACTTTGTTCGAGAACCCCCACGGTGCCCCACCGTACTGATTGGATTCGCAATCGATTTGTGCGCGTAGGAAGGATGCATCTGATTCGTCGGTAGTTTCGTGATAGCTCATCGGACGGTGTAAAAGGTGGTGTCATATCAGAATATGGTACTCTCGATTCACAAAATTTCAATGATCAGCTCTGAGCAGATTCAGCACTTTGAAGTTTTTGGAGTACCGTAGAGACATTGTCCATTCGCACCACCTTGGTGCGAATATTTACTTATGAACGTTTTGTCATTTCGCACCAGCATCGACGATATTATTAGGATTTTCGTTTTTTCCAGATTTGAAAGTTTTTAGGCCTCATTTTGCAGGTTTTGGAGCGTCTACAAATATTATTCTTGATTCGCATTTTCGCACCTGCGTCGAAAGTAATGAAACTTTTTTCGCAAGCCCTTAAAATAATTATTTTAGTGCGAATGGACAATGTCTCTACGGTAGGTACACTGAGCTACCGTACGGTACTTTAGGACCCGCCTACCGGTATACGGTAGTACTAGTACCTATACCTATGTACCTTGCCTGTACGACTCCTACACTGGCTAC